CTTTTTTGCATGAGACCCCTTGCTGAGCCTGGGTTTGCTCCCCACCTGTATGGTTCAAGCCCTGTGCCCTCCCCAGGGACTGTGATACCCCCGCAGGCCTCCCTGGTCTTCAATGTCCTGCTGATTGATGTCCACAACCCGAAGGACACGGTCCAGCTGGAGACGCTGGAGCTGCCCCAGGGCTGTGTCCGGCGAGCGGTGGCAGGGGATTTCATGCGTTACCACTACAATGGCTCTTTAATGGATGGTACCCTCTTTGATTCCAGGTCAGAGAAGGTGTCCTGAGGTGGGAGGGTGGGGGCTTAGGGGTACCCTGAAGGGGTGGGGCCCCTTTGACTCCCTCCCCACCCCTTCCCTTCTATTGCAGCTACTCCCGCAACCACACCTACAATACCTATGTTGGGCAGGGTTACATCATCCCTGGGATGGACCAGGGGCTGCAGGGCGCATGCATAGGGGAGCGAAGGAGGATTACTGTGCCCCCTCACCTTGCCTACGGGGAGAATGGGACAGGTAGGGTTTGGTCCCCTGGCCGCCCCTCAGCTCCTCTGAAGTGTGCCCCTAAGAGTGCTGTTCCGCTGTTCCTCCCATTGCCCAAGCATGTACAACTTCTCCTTAGTCACCCATCGGATCTCTACCAGGCAGACTTTATCCCGTTCCTCCAAGGCAGGCCTCATTCATCATTTTGTAGTGGAGAAAGGAGAAAGGCAGCCAACACCTAAGTTTGGGGATAGAATGGTTAAGAATGAACAGTACCACTGAGCAAAGAGGATGTTAGAGATTCTGGGAGCCTCAGGCCCCTCGCAGATATGCTGGGCACCGCTCACAGGAGGGTCACTGGGAGCTTGCTTGAAAGTTGTCAGGTGGAAAAGGGTTTCCCTGCTTCTCTGTCCCATCACTCCAACAGTAAGAAATAGGAAGCACCCGTTCTGGAGCATGTCATCTGACCTCCCTGAGACTGGGACGGGGTGGCCAGCCTGGGCCCCATGGAGCCCTCGCCCAGAGCTCTGAGCTAACCATGCCCCGTCTGGCCTTAGGAGACAAGATCCCTGGCTCGGCTGTGCTCATCTTTGACGTGCATGTCATTGACTTCCACAACCCTGCGGATCCTGTGGAAATCAGGACGCTCTTCCGGCCACCTGAGGGCTGCAACGAGACATCTAAGACTGGGGATTTCATTCGCTACCATTACAACTGCTCTCTTCTGGATGGCACCAGGCTCTTTTCTTCGTGGGTTCTTGGGCAGGGCCAGGGCTAGGCAGGTAGTGGTGGGCTCAGGTATAGGTGAACTTCTGGTAGCTTGCAGGCTCTTTCTCCTTTCTCTGGGTCTCACAGTCTCTCAGTTCCTCCCCAAGTCCCTATTTGAGTGAGCCTCGGGGAACCGTGGCTATGAAATACGGGGCTAGAGGCAGGGGAGTGAAGCTGGGGAAGGAGAATTACCATCTCAGTGTGATGGAGAAATTGAACAGGATGAGCACCCAGACAACCCTGCTGCTAACCTGGGAATCCACTCTCCCCCCACAGCTACGACTATGAGGCCCCTCAAGAGGCCACCCTTGGCAATAACAAAGTGATTGAAGGTCTGGACAGGGGCCTGCAGGGCATGTGTGTGGGAGAGAGGAGGCAGCTCACTGTGCCCCCACACCTGGCCCACGGGGAGAGTGGAGGTGAGCGAGAGTGGCCTGGATCCCACGTTGGTCCCAGATTTCCCTACCCATCCCAGGTCCTGGAGGCTGGAGTCGGGGGACCAGGGAATCTCTTAGGATTGTTCCTAAACATCCCACGTCCCTTCCTTGAGAGACAACTAAGGCCTGTGTAAGGCTCAGTGCCAGGCCTCACTAGCACCTTGTTCTCTTTTTCCTCCTTCTCTCTAGCCCGGGGTGTCCCGGGCAGTGCTGTCCTGCTCTTTGAGGTGGAGCTGGTATCGCGAGAGGACGGCCTGCCCACAGGTTACCTGTTTGTGTGGCACCAGGATCCTCCTACCAGCCTGTTTGAAGACATGGATCTCAATAAAGATGGAGAGGTGCCCGCAGAAGAGGTGGGCCAGGAACTGAGCCATAGTCTTAACCTGGAAGCCAGCATGCCGCTCACTTGCATGGTCACTGTCACTATTCCCCTTCTGCTGAGCTTCCAATCTCCCTTCCCCTCCTGCACACTGTACAGCCTGTCCTCACCCTACGTGGCCCCTCACTTACACCTTCCATCTCAGGCCTGAATTCCCTGGGTACCAGGCCTGGGGAAACACTGTTGAACTCCGCCTGGGGTCCCTTCCCAAGACCCCACCCACAACCGTTGACATTGATCCTCACTGCCTTGTCCTCTGTCCCTCTTGTCCCCTCCCCCAGTTCTCCTCCTTCATCCGTGCTCAAGTGAATGAAGGCAAAGGGCGCCTCATGCCCGGGCAAGACCCTGACAAAACCATAAGAGACATGTTTCAGAATCAGGACCGCAACCAGGATGGCAAGATCACCGCTGAGGAACTCAAGCTGAAGTCCGACGAGGACCAGGAACGGATCCATGAGGAGCTCTGAGGGCCAGAGTCTCAGTCCTGACCTCAGATGCAAAGGTCCTCCACTGGGGGACAGTGGCCGTGGAGCTGGCCGGCCAACAGCCCCCCTCCCTCAGTGGGGATAACTGTGGGAGTCCCTGAATGTCATCAGAGACAGCTGTGACCTTCCCACTGGCTGCGGCTCCCAGTCCACAGCACAGACCTCTGCATTTTTCTCTTCCCACCCTTACGCCTCTTCCTTAAGGTTCTTGGCGTGATAAATCCAGTTTGGGGGGGTGGGCAGTGGTGTATGGTTAGGGGCCGTTGCTGACTCCACACACCCATACCTCCTGTCCACATCACTACACTCAGCAAGGCTGAGCTCCTCGGTCCCTCACTTTCCAAATGTGCCCTTTATTTGTACTGCCCTGCCCCGTCTCCCTGCCCATGTCTGTCCCCTCTCCCTATGTCATGGCAGCTCCCCGGGGGCATGAGTGAGGAGACTTGCATTCTCCTGCATCAGCTCTGCCTGCTCCTCAGGAAGGGGTGGCTCCGGGCACACAGTCCTGCCACTGGGGTCAGGCCTTCTGACCTTCTCTCTTAGAGAGAGCTTTCTCTGAAGGGAAAGGTTTTGTGAGAGGAAGCCTGCTCGGGCTTCAGGGCTGTGCACACCTGCACATGGTGCTACTTTGATGGGAGGTACGCAGAGTTCTGAACTCTGGAAGGCTAAACTGATCCGATCCCTTTGTGTCAATAAAAGGTTAGACTGAAGGCCTTGAGAAGTGTATATGTGCACGTTCACGTGTGTGTGTGTGTGTGTGTGTGGAAAGCAGAGATCGACATCTGGTGTGTTTGGCAATCTCTCTTTATCTTTTATTGTTAATTGGGTTTTGTTTGTTTTGTTTTTTGAGACAGGGTTTCTCTGTAGCTTTGGAGCCTGTCTTGGAACTTGCTCTGTAGACCAGGCTGGCCTCGAAGTCTCAGAGACCTACCTGTCTCTGCCTCCCGAGTGCTGGGATTAAAGGCATGCACCATCACACACATACACACACACAAACACACACACACCCACACCCGGCATGGTTGTAATTTGCTCTTTTTGGGGGGGAGGGTTGGTTTTTCAAGACAGGGTTCTCTGTAGTTTTGGAGCCTGTCCTGGAACTTGCTCTGTAGACCAGCCTTATTTTTAACTAGCGTGTGTGTGTGTGTGTGTGTGTGTGTGTGTGTGTGTGTAAGGATATCTTGCCTGCATGTAAGTCTTTTGTAATACATATGTGCCTGGCACCCACAGAGGCCAGAAGAGGGTGTCGGGTCCCCTGGGACCAGAGTCACAGCCAATTGTTGTTTGCCAGGTGTGTGCTGGGAACTGGTGTGTGCTGGGAACCGGTGTGTGCTGGGAGCCGGTGTGTGCTGGGAACCGGTGTGTGCTGGGAACCGGTGTGTGCTGGGAGCCGGTGTGTGCTGGGAACCGGTGTGTGCTGGGAACCGGTGTGTGCTGGGAACCGGTGTGTGCTGGGAACTGGTGTGTGCATTGTGTTCTTTCTTGAGGAGCAGCATGTGCTCTCTCACTTCCCTCTCTCTATTTTATGTGTAAGTGTTTAACCTGTAGGTATGTCTGTGTACCGCGCATGTGCCTGGTGCCCTCCGAGGCCAGGAGAGGGCATTGGATCTCCTGGGACTGGAGATTATGAATTGCCATGTGGGTGATGGAAATCAAGCCTAGGTCCTCTGGAAGAGCAATGTTTTTTTTTTTTTTTTTGGTTGTTGTTGTTTTTTGTTTTTTAAGATTTCTAACCAGATTCTAAAATTTTTTTTGTTTATTTTTATTTCATGTGCACTGGTGTTTTTGCTGGCATGTATGTCTATATGAGGGTGTCAGATACCCTGGAATTGGAATTACAGACAGCTGTGAGCTGCCAGGTGGGTGCTGGGGATTGAACCCAGGAAGAGCAGCAAGTGCTCTTAACCACTAAGCCATCTCCCCAGCCCCATTTTTTTTAAAAAGACTTTTTTAGCTGGATAGTGACAGTACACACCTTTAATCCCAGCACTCAGGAGGCAGAGGCAGGCAGATCTCTGTGAGTCCGATGCCAACTTGGTCTACAGAGCGAGTTCCAGGACAGCCAGGGTTACACAGAGAAATCGTCTCAAAAGACAAAAACAAAAACAAAGGCAAAAAAAAAAAAAAAGAAAACACCCTTTTTTATTCAGAAAAAAAAAAACAAGACCCAAATCAAAGGGTTTTTGTTTGTTTTTTGTTTTTTTGTTGTTGTTTGTTTTTGTTTTTTTCCCCAAACACACACAGGAGGGAATATGCATAGTGGGAGATATCTGTCCAGCCCCAGCCTATTTGGTTTTGCAGCCAGTACTCTTAACCACTGAGCCATTTCCGCTCTGCCCTCTTTTGAGACAGGTCTGTTGTTATAGCTGTCCTGGAACTTGCTAGGTAAAGGAGACTGGCCTTGAGAATGCCTGCCCCTGACCCCAAGTGCTAGGATTAAAGGCATGCACCACCATACTGGGCTCCTGCCATTTCTTCAGCCCCTTACATACACCTTATTTTTTCAGACAGGGTCTCTCGTTGAACTTGAAGGTCAAAAGTTAGGGTAAACCAGTTGGCTGGCAAATCAGAGCTGGGATTCCAGGCGCATGCTGTGCCCCAGTGCTTGCTACATGGTTTCTGGGGACTAAACCCCAGGACTTGTGTTTACATGGTAAGCACTTTATCGACTAAGCCATGTCCTCAACCCAGCAGAACACTTTTAACCCAAAGGCGTGGCAGAAAGGGGACAAGCCAGGCAGTTACCATGGCCTCATGAGCTGCAGATTCTAGACAGAGATCTTCCCGTTTGCCTCCCTCAAACATAACCAAACCAAACCTAACCAGCTGCAAAGAGCCGTGGGCTCTTGAGGATCAATGGCCAGAGACGGGGGTCTGCAGAAGCGTGGAAATGATCCTTGTCCCCTTATTGTCTCAATTGAAGGCAGAAACAATGTCCCTGACTGCAGACACCCCCAGAGCTCAAACTGGACCATAAGGCTAGAGTACACTTGTTCACACAGATCCATTCTCAGTACTGTGGCGTTCCCCTTCCTCTCCCCACCTGCCCCTCTCCATTGGCAGACCAACCAACCAGATCTCTGCAGTCCTAGGGAGAAATGCCTCTCCAACCAGTGTGTTTGCCCTCACTTACCTGCCTCACTCTGCCCACTCCGACAGATGCCCTGGGCCTCTGAACACAAAGCGGGGACTTTGCAGAAAATGACAAGACCAGACTCGAATTCCAAACTGTCCCTAAGCATCATCTTCTTACCCAGGGCTAGTTTGGAATCAGGTGTCCAGTCCAGGGGGCCATTAGAAGTTGGAGGCCTAGGGAAGGTTTTTAATCATTGGCATGGTGATTTGAATCAGAATAGCCTGCCAGCCACACTCAACTTGGCCCCCAATTAGTAATGCTGTTTGGGAAGGACCAGGTGTGGCCTTATTGGAGGTTCTATGTCTGAGAGACAGGCTTTGAGGCTTCAAAAGCACCCCCCCACACACACACACAGGGTGCTCTCTGCCTCGTTTGTAGATCAAGATGTAAGCTCTCAGCTATTCTTGCTACCACACCTTTGCTGCGCCATCATGGATTCTAACCTTCTGGAACCACAAGCCCAGTTAAACACATGTATAAGGTGCCTGGGTTGTCCGGTCACAGTCACAGAAAAGTAACTAAGACAACTGGGTATTCTTTGAAAGGGATGGTGGGGCCCTGGTCTCTTTTCTCTTTTGTACCTGGCCACTGGAAGGCAAAGGGGCCTCCTCCACCATGTGCTCCCTACCATGACTGCTCCGCCACCACAGGCCCAAAGCGACGGGGCCAAGTGTTCACAAGCTGAAACCTCCCTAACTGTGAGTCATCTCTTTTAAGTTAATTACTGTATTTTGTTAGAGTAACAAAAAACTAACACACTCCAGGATCTTCAGCCACGATTGTTGCCTGAGGCCAGTGATCGGCACTCCTTGTCACCTAAGCCTCCAGAAATCTCCTGAGGTCAGCCTGTGCTCCTGAACCGGTCACAATGCCCCGCTCCCACAAAACCTAGGACAGCCCTGAAGTAAAGCTGAGGAACACAAGCAGATGGAGAAGAGGCACAGGCTTGGGCTAGAAGTACCTAGCGCTTGACTCCGGCTGCTAGCCATGGCGTCCGGGCAAGTTGTTCACCCTAAGCTACTCAGCTGCAAATGAGGGATTCTGTTCAGAGTCATGAGAATGGAATGGCGAATGTGTGCCCAGGATGGCACCTATATCCCGTAGGCATCCATCAGCCCTGGGTACCCTTTCCCTTCAGAGCTGCAGGCTATCAGCGCTTGGGATAAGCAGCCTCCTGGACAGGAGGGCATATGAATGACTTTCTCGAGGGGTGTGAGAGAAAAAGTCCTGGAGAGCCAGCTCGTCTGTTTGATCTTTGATGAAAGCCACAGGGAGAATGTCCCTAGGTCTTCGCTCCCTGAGTGAACAGAACAAAGAGGGAAGGAAGCTACAGACAGTTGATATTGCAGGGTACTAGTGCATCCATGACTTCTGCTTTGCTCCACCGTCTTCCTGGGGGTCTGGTCTCGAAACCCTTTAAGGGGGCTGGAGAGGTGGATAGGTGGTTATGAGCACTGACCGTTCTTGCAGAGGGTCTGGGCTCAGTTCCCAAAGCCCACATGGTGGACAACATGTTGGTAACTCCAGTTCCAGGGGATCCGGCACACTCTTCTGACCTCTGCAGTCACCAGGAACACATCCGGTACAATACATCCATGCAGGAGAAACACTCATATACATGAATTAAAACAAAAAATAAAATCCCTTTCATGTCATGTTGGTGGTACTGGATCAAAAAGTGGAGGAAAGATCCAAGGACATATGGAAAATCGACACTCAGATGGATCCTGGGGGGGGGGGGCTGTCTCAGACAGGGCCACCTCAACCCAGCTGAGTGTCAAGTGTCAAGGCTGGACCCACTCCAGGTCAGGATCACACCTTCCCATCGCTACCCTCCCAGATCTACACACTCCTGGGCTACTCTGGGATCCAGGCTGCAGGCAGACTCAGAACGCACTCACACGGGATTTCTTAGCTTTCCTGCTGTCCTCAAACTCTGTTCTGTGGCACTCCAGGGGTCCCTCACTGGTCCTTGTGCCTTGAGGGTGGAGGTTTGGGTTGCACACCCAGCTCCCGCACTGTGAGTTAGAGCTACTTTTCTGTTTTGTTTTTTAAATAAATTCACACACTATATTTGTCTGATGTACAGCTTTACTTTTTCTTCTTTTACAGAGCTGGGGGAGGGACCCAGAGTCTGCCACATGCTAGACAGGTGCTTCACCACTGAGCGGCCTGTATTCCCAGCTCTGAAAACTGTCTTAGAATGAGCCCTTGGACTAGATGGTCCATAGAAGGCTAACATGCTGTGGTCCCCGGTTCTCTTCGAAGCACACTTGCTGCCCTCCCCTCCCACAGGCAGGGCCTCCCTCAAGCCTCTTCCTAGCAGGAGGAAGGCAAAGGCACAGGGAAGGAGTCAGGGGTGAGGAGGGCCCAGCAGCTCTCGGCTGCCCTGGACTTCTCTCGGCGCTCACACAGGAGGCTCCGCGGGCAGGCATTCCTCCTCATCACTGCCTGCAGGACCTGGCCTGAGTCTTCGTACTTAGGAGCCCTGTAGCTCCATGCAGTCCCCCTGGCGCAGGATATGCTGCAGCAGCCCGTTGACCACGTCCAGCGTCTCATCCTTCTCCAACACAA